GATATATTTCAATGTGGCATGACCACTAAGAAAAACAATTTAACAAAAGCTAGTACAGATGAAAAGGAACGCAAGTAATGGGCTTTGAAACTACAATTACCTAATCAAAGAAGGCCCCAAAACCCAATTTGCCCATATACCTTGAGGAAAAAAAACCATAAAAATATACGCCACTTAATCATGAATGAATCTACTATATTAAAATAGAGTCATTCTTTTTATCTACTGTTACAAGTTGTCATTTAAATTTGGATTCTTTCTAGAGTGTTACAAATAATACAAGTCATATAGTTAATTGAACCGCATTACTTAAACTAAACCGATGGTTATTTATGGGATATAATCTTGGGCTTACTTTTGTTTTTAGAACAAATTATATGGTTTGGTTTTTGGGCTTAGTATTAAGGAAAAACTCCAAAAACATTGAATAAACTTTTCACCTTAATGGATAAAAAAACCAGTTATTATTTTCAAGCCCAAAAGGTATTTAATATTTTTAAAGAAAACAAATTTGTCTATTATTAATCGTTTATTTAAATCGCGTACTTTAAACATGTTAACATATTTTTATTTTAAATAACAATCATTTTGTTTTGATAAATTTCAATGGTAACATTTAAATAATTTATTTTTTTATTTCTCTTAAATAATTTACTGATTTAAAAAAAAATGTAAGGCAAAACCAAAAACGAAATCCAAAAACTAAAATCCAAAACCAAAAACTGAAAAATCAGGTTATATCTTTTTGCTTTTATTTATTTACAAAATAAACTATTGCAAATTTCTTTAAAAAATGTTTTGTCATCTTTTCAGTTTTAAATTAGATGTTCGATTATTTTAGATTTGTTAGTTAGTAATATCAGTTCAAACTAACTCAGTGGGTCTAAAAATTAAAAACCCAAACCAAAAGCTGAAAATCAAAAATAGAAACTTAAAAAATAAAACCAAAATCTAAAACAAAATCTAAAAATAAAAACTGAAACTAAAAACTAATGAATAACAATCATCACCACAAATTTTGGTGAACTGATTTTATCCCAAAACATTCTTTAAATTAGGATAAAATCCAATTACATAAATTTTTAATCATAAAAAAATTCCGCGCTTGAAAAGCGCGTGTCAAAATCTAGTTATAATTATTATTAGGTGTTTTGCCCGCACTTGCAAGCATAATTCTCCTATGAATATTTATTAGTTGATGTTTCATTAATTTAAAAACCAGCATAATAAATTTTTATTTACGTTTTCAAAAAGTACAAATCAAACATCAAATAATTATCAATGACAAAACTCAAACATCAGAAATATTTAAAAGAGTATATTTCTATAATTATTTTGCTTAATTTATATTTGATTATAATATTTATACAAATATTTTTACTTAATTTATATTTAGTTATAATTTTTATATTTTATATTTGAAATTTTATAATAGAAAAACATATTTTCAAGATAACAATATAATGCATAAGTTATTTATTTTCTAAAAAATAATATGATAATTTTTTAATTATATAATATAATATAAATTATGATATATAATTAAAATTATTTAAAATCATGGAGAACTTAACGAATCAGCAAACTCACTTCTTAAATAGTTTTTCTTGAGTGATGATTTATATCTAATTAATAATAGATAATTTTCTATTTTAATTTTAAATTATATAATATAAAATATATTTTCAAGATAACACATAATTTATAAGAATTACCTTATTTTCTAAAAGTATAATATTATTAGTGTAAATTTATTTCAATTATAGAATAACTACAATTTCTTATATTTTAATTTTAAATTTCTAATAGAAAAAATATATTTTCAAGACATAAACTTAATACATAAGAAGCAACTTATTTTCTAAGAATCTGATACTATTAATATAAACTAGGTGTTTTGCCCGCATTTGCGGGCATTATTCTCTTATAAATATTTATTAGTAGATGTTTCATTAATTTAAAAATCAGAATAATAAGTTATTATTTATGTTTTCAAAAAGTAAAAATTACACATCAAAAAATTATTAATGACAAAACTCAAACTTCAAAAATATTTAAAAGAATATATTTCTATAATTATTTTGCTTGATTTATATTTAATTATAATATTTATACAAATTGTTTACTTAATTTATATTTAATTTTAATTTTTATATCTTAATTTTAATTTTATAATAAAAAACATTTTTTAAATATAACAATATAATGCATAATTTATTTATTTTCTAAGAATATGATATGATATTTTTTTAATTATATAAGATTATAAAAATTATGACGTATAATCAAAATTACCTAAAATCATGGAGAACTCAATGAATCAGCAAATTCACTTCTTAAATAATTTTTCTTGAGTGATCGTTTATATTTAATTAATAATAGATAATTTTTCTATTTTAATTTTAAATTATATAATATAAAAGTATATTTTCAAGATAACAACATAATACATAAGAATAACTACAACTTTTAATATCTTAATTTTAAATTTATAATACAAAAATATATTTTCAAGACAACAACTTAATACATAAGAAATATCTTATTTTCTAAGAATCTGATATTATTAATATAAATTTGTTTTAAATATATAATAAATTATATATAAAGTTATAGAAATTATGATAAATTATCAAAATTACTTAAAATGATGGAAAATATGACAAATCCGCAAACATCAAATTAACTTTTTAAATAATAGTATAGATTTTTTACATGTTAATTTAAAATTTAATAATAGAAAAATATATTTTCAAGATAATAATACATAAGAATTACCTTATTTTCTAAAATATAAATTTGATTATTAATAATATAATTTTTATATCTTAATATTAATTTTTATAATATAAAAATATATTTTCAACATAACAACATAATACACAAGAATTATCTTTTTAAGTTTTATATATAAAAATATATTTCTAGATAACAACATAATTCACAAGAATTATCTTATTTTCTAAAATATGATATATTCATATAAATTCGTTTTATTTATTAATAAATTATATATAATATTATAAATATGATAAATAAACAAAATTACCTAAACTTATGGAGAACATGACAAGTAAGCAAATTTACTTCTTAAATAATAGTATAGATTTTGGAATTTCTTTTTCAACTTACTTTTGGAATTTATTCATCCGAAATATTGAAAAATCAAGATTTTGATTAAAAAAAAAAATCTTGAGAAAATTTATTCCCTTTTCTTATTCTTTTTTATCTTGTTTATAAGGAAACATATCATGTCTTGAAAAACAACTATCACATTGATTTAGTTCCTAATCTAGAGATTTGTGACTATAATCCTACATTTAGCATATTTATAAAAGATATTTTACTATTATTATTTTTATTTTTGCTATTTTTTGTTTTACTTATCGGTAGATGTAAGTATGATAAGCGAGATATACTTTCACTAATATCAAATAAATACTAATGCATTTTACATAAGAAAGGGACAAATAAAAAGAAGTAACTTTTTTACCAAAATTTATAACTACAAAGAAACAGTTTGCCAAAGGAAATTTATATTTATTTAAAAGTAACAAAAATTTAAATAATTAAGATTTTTCAACAAATCAATTGGCAAGTGTGATTTGTTTTCAAAGTGAATATATATATATATATATATATACACACATATATATATATATATATATATATATATATTAAAACAATATAAAACAAAGAAATATAAGTATTTTCTTAGCAAAAACTAAGAGTTAAAGAAACAAAAATCAAGATCTACCAAGAATTATTATTTTTTTAAACCAATTAAAAATATATAAGTTAAATATTGAATACATGTCAAAATTTAATCAAATAATTCTAATTGACATCCGTTATAATTTTTATTAGTATTATGGGTGATCTTTTATTTTTGAACTAGAAAATTTAAAACTTAAGAAAATATTAATTAACTCTAATGAACGATAATTAATAAAAAATTATAGACTAATTAAACAGCTAAATTTGTTATTCGGATACCAGTTTAAAGGCGTAAATGTTAATATGATCTTGATAAAAATTTCTTAGAAATCGTCAGTTGCCAAAAATAGAATACTTAATCGTCGAAACATATCTTTCTATAATATCATATTAACCAGCATAATTTGTTACATAGTATTTTGTTAGGAAAAAAAAAACAAAATCAAAAGCGACAGTAGAACATGTTCGGTCAACAAATAAAATTTGGCGCGAAAAACTATATTTAAAGTTTTCCGTCAACTACTATTCTCTTAAAAGAAATAGAAAACATTACAATTTATAAAAAAACCGTTATGATTACCGAAAAAATTTGGCGCGTAAAACTATATTTTTTTTATTTTTCCGTTAACTACTATTCATTTAAAAGAAATAAAAAACATTACCACTTGTAAAAAACCGTTATGATTACCGGAAAAGTTTGTCGCGAGAAACTATATTTTAAAAGTTTTCCGTTAACTACTATTCTTTTAAAAGCAAAATGGATAATTACCAGATATAAAAAACCGTTATGATTACCGGAAAAAAATGGCGCAAAAAACATTAATTTCGATAATCCAATAAAACATCCCCAAATACACAAAACACATTGCTATCAAAAACTTTGTATAATACTAACAGTGACAACCCAATCTCAACACTACCACTTATACTACACAATGTTGCAAGCTATATTTTACTTTTAACATCTTTTTCATAGAACACATCCTAGTAACAAATATAATGACTTTTTTAAGCTAGATAAACCTCTAGAAGGACTAACGCTTTCTAATCACAAAACAACACCAGAACATCACCGACTTAAAACAAATCTAAACGACACGTGTCAAGTTCTAAAAGGTTTGTGTTTGTAACGCTTATTATCGTGCTCGCTTACACATCAGATTACTGACTCATCATTATAAAATCTGTTTCATGGTCTTTGAGTCCCCCTTGTCTCTCACACAAAATTTTCAGGGCTAAGTCAAAAGACTTCTGTCTTCTTCATCTTCTGTTCTGTAAGAATTATGGACGGAGCTTCCGAGTATAGTCCACGCACGGTGGAGGAGGTTTTCAGAGATTTTAATGGTCGTAGGAATGGCATGATCAAGGCTTTAACCACCGGTAAAAACATTGGTTTCATCAACACTTTTCCTTTTGTTTTTCTTTTTTTTGTTTTTGTTTTTTGTTTTTTGTTTTTGTTTTTTCATGTTATTCACTCAATATTTTTTTGATATGGTTTCTCGCAGATGTTCATGAGTTCTACCAACTTTGCGATCCCGGTGAGTGTTTTCTTCATAGATTCTTTGGGTTTGATCTCCGGTGAGAACCATGCATCTGTGATCGGGTGATCAAGGCGTTCCGTGCATCTAGACCTGAGTTCGAATTCGCACCACCAGATTTTCACAATACATGGCCACCAGGGTTTTCACATTCTCTCTCCGGAGAATGATTTACCAATTTTTTTTTTTTTTTTTATCTCCAGTTGATGAAAACTGTTTTTTTATTTTATAAGTTTTTTAATTTTCTTCGTTGCGGTTTGTCGTGACGTGTGTGTTGAGTTATGCATTAGGGTTTTGATGGTGGCTCTTCTCTGTTTTTTTTTAAGTAAAGAGTTGATTTTTATTTGACTTGGCTCAAATGGAATAAAAAAAAGTTTTTTTCCTTTCTGTGATTTCATGATTTGGGCTGCCTTTGATAGGTACGAGGTTGTGACTTGTTTAAGAAGTATAGATACAGGGGAGAGAGTTGGTATTTGGGTTGTTTCTTTGTGTTGCTTTTAGTGTTGTTGATTTTGATTTTAATTGATGATTTAAAGTCAACAAGAAAACAGTTTTTTTTTAGCAAAAAAAAATAACACAGTTTTGAAAAAAAAAAAAGAGTCTGTGGACCTATCAGCTTGACCCTGTGATTTAAATCACTGTGGATGCTGCTTTCCTTGCCTAGCTTTATTAATTAATCTCTCTTGTGTTGAGTAGTCAGAGACTCATTGTTTCTCTTTATTTTTTGTATCACTTGTCTTGGTGTGTTTTTGGTGCTCTTATAAGAGATTTTTAATGTGTGATTATAGATAAGGAGAACCTGTGCCTTTATGCTGCACCTGATGAGCACTGGGAAGTGACTTTACCAGCTGAAGAAGTTCCCCCGGAGCTCCCAGAGCCTGTCTTGGGCATCAACTTTGCCCGAGACGGGATGCTGGAGAAGGATTGGTTGTCTCTTATTGCTGCCCACAGTGATGCTTGGCTTACTGGAGTTGCTTTCTTTTTCGGAGCCAGGTTTGGGTTTGACAAGGCTGATAGGTAATGTTCTCTTCTTTGTGTCTATGTTGTTAACTGTTGTAGTGGTAATATGCATGCTGTTAAATTCAATGTTTTGGTCCCAACCTTTTGTTGCAGGAAGCGCCTTTTCAATATGATGAATGATCAACCATCAGTTTTTGAGGTTGTGACTGGTGCTACTGCTAAGAAACAATCAAAGGTGAAATCCTCTGTCTCCAACAGTAGCAGCAACAGATCCAAATCAAACTCCAAGGTAAACATATTTTCTTTGTGAATGTTCTTTATGGCATTGTTTTTTTTTGTCCATCTAAATGTGTCCTTCATCTCAAGTTCCCCAAGGTAGAGCCCAAGGCAGAGCCCAAGATTGAGCCCAAGGATGAGCCCAAGGGAGAGCCCAAGGTAGAGCCCAAGGCAGAGCCCAAGGAGGAAGAGGAGGAATATGAAGAGGAGAATGATGATGAGCAAGGAGAAACAGAGTGTGGGGCATGTGGTGAGTACTATGAAGCTGATGAGTTCTGGATCTGCTGTGACATCTGTGAGACTTGGTTCCATGGGAAGTGTGTGAAGATAACACCAGCCAAGGCTGAGCACATCAAGCAGTATAAGTGCCCATCTTGCAGCTGCAGCAACAAGAGGGGCCGGTCCTAAATTTCATTCTGTGTATTTGCCTTTGCATATGATGAACAGCCTAACTGTTTGGTTAGATTTTTATTTGTTGTTTAAGACCTCATCTGATTTGGTTATCTTGGGCCTCAAGTTAGCCTCTTCTTTGGAAGATATTTAAGTTATAATTGTTACAATTGGGGGTTTGGTACTTGCTCTCTGTTTTTATGTTTTGTCTATTCGAGGAACATGACTTTATCAAAATGTCCTGTTAGATTCTCTATTACGTTTCTTCACCCTATCACATTGTTGTTGCTGGTTTCAAACATCCAAGCAAGGACGTTCCAAAAACTTTGCAAAACCTTTTAGATCCTAGACTCTACCATACGCCAGGGCCGATTCTTGCCTTGTTTTGAGGACTGTGATAGGGTAAAGAGGGGTGGATACACCGGGAGAAGAGAGCAGCACCGAGGTCAAGCTTAGTCCTGGGCATTTCGGATATAGGTTTGCTTCAGTTTGGTTTAATTTTGTTTTTAGGTTCTAGAGATCTACTAATTGTTTGGGTATTTAAAAATTTTGGCTTGATTATCCTGATTTTCAGTTCGAAAAGATAATTTTGAATCCAATTTGGTTTCAGTATGATTCTAAGTTTTCGATTAAACTGAACTGAAAAGTCCGAAATTTGAGTTTTTGGAATTAAATATCATATTTTTGGGTTTCGAATAAAAATTCGGCTAATTTTAAATATTTCGGATAAAAATATAAGGGTAATTAGTTTTTAGAGATAATTCGATCTATAAATAGTATTTGTAAAATATTTGATTCTTTTAATACTAATTATTGTTAATATTATAAGTATATAAATTATGTTATACAAATTCGGATATTCATTCTGTTTGGTTCGTTTTTTCTGTTTTAAAGAAATACTAGGTGGTTTCCGACGAATTCGCAGAAATAAATATTATATGAAAATTTATATTATGTATATAATGTTATAAATTTTTAATAATAATTAGAAATATTAAAAATATAATTTTTAACTTCTAATAGTTTAACAATCAGTCTTAAAGTTTCCTTAAATTTGATGTAAAAAGAACTGATAAATATTTAGTAATAAAAAATACTTGTGATATTATATATGTAATTATCACATTAACTTTTCCAACACATATTATGTATTTTCTTCGGTCTCTTCTTATTTTTCACGTTATTATTTCCTTCTTTTTATTAAATTTTTGCTAATGTTTTCCTACATTTTAACATTTTTTTGCCAAATATCTATTTATCTCTAAATAGTAATACAAAACATACATTAAATAAATAAAAAATCACCTTAGAATTAGTTTCAATCCTAACAGTACCTTATTCACTATATTATTTGACTCAAATGCCAAAATAAAAAAATAAATCAAAGTTCTTACATGTTTTGTTAAATATAATCCGTTCAGTTTTCAAAGTCTAACTATTTACAAAGCATGCATTATAATAGATTGATAATAATTATTATAGATACGACTATATTGTTATACGAATATGAAATCCTTATATTGATTGCTATAATTTGTTTTATATTCATTTTATGTAATATATATAAATAGAAAAAGATTTAATCAAACATTATTATACTTTCTATAATTTTAAAAATTATCAATCATTAATTTTATAATAATTTACATACTATGAATTTTTTTAACTCATGTAAATAATCTATAAACTCGCTTTATGGTCATTAATATTTATTATAATATCTTTGTATCAAAATTATATGTTTTATCTATGTATATTATGACTTATACAAGAAAAGAAAACTACTTTTACCACTGTTTATAATAGAAAAGTAAAGTTAGTAAATTAGTTTTATTAAATTTTTCTTAAAACGAATACTTTATATAATTTATAAATAGACTATTAGTGAATCCATATAAATGAAGAAGTATTATATAAAATTTTCATAATTGCTATAACTAGATATTATAAATGATTACTAGAGCTGGACCCGTCCGACCGGACGGGTATTTATTTCATTTTTTATATAAATGAATATTATTTAAATGTCTATCCGTTAATATTTTTAAATATTTATCATATTTCTAAATTCTTATAAACACAACAATCGAATAGTTTATGTGCTGTAAAAATAGTGATTCGTGTCCATTATTAAACTTTTGAAAAATTAATATTGAATTATTGATAGTTTGAATAATATTTCTTGTAACATGAAATTGTTTGCCAAATGTAAAAAGAATTTAAATATTTTGATCAGATATAGATAATATGGTAAGATTTAGATACGTTATAAAAAAGAATATTTGGTTATAAACATTAAACCTTGTTTTACAAGTAATTCACTATTTCAATTTCAGGATAAAATTTTCTTGTTGAAAATAATTAATAGCAAGCAAAATGGTAAAACATATATTTTAGAAATTCTTGAAAATATATAATCTTAGGTGAGATTTAATTATATTAAAATAATATTCAGTTATAAATATTTCATGTTGTTTATAAGTAGTTTAAATATATTTAAAATTTTATTGTTCAAAATAATTAATGCTAAGTTAAACATATATTTTAGGAATATTAATAATATTTTTTTTAATATCGAATTTAAACTTGAATTTTGTTCAAAATAATTAATGGTAACATTATACAAATTTAATATTGTTAAAATCGATTTTAAATATGAATATTCCTAAAAATCAGTTAGTTTAATTTAGGGAATATATTAAACACGAAAATTAAGCTAAAATTGATTTAGGAAATTGTTTAATAAATAGGAAAAGACAATGATTATTTACATATAAGTTCATTTAATTACTTCAGTGGCATGCTATTGTAAATAAAGTGAAAACTAAGTGATATTTTATATGGGTACTTCTCTTTTAATAATATAGATGCATAAAATTGTTTGACAACTAACATTAACTGATTCTAGTACTGACTCTTTTAGATTTGATATTTGATATTTATTTATTTTAATTAAGAAACTCCACTCAAATATCCTAAAATCAACTGAAAATTTTAAAACTCCACCACTTAATATATTTCCAATAGTAATGGATTTCAGAGTACTTTATAAAATGTCAAATTCAATAACAATGGATTTTAAATGAATTTATAAAATTCATGTTTAAATAATAGTCAATTTGTCATTTTAATACAAATCACCTAGAATTCTTGGTTAAATACTTCCATAAAATTCTTGGTTGAATGCATCTTCTAAATTACTTTTCAATTAATCTCTATAATATTATTTGAGAAGTCAGTTTCCTACGTGTCGCGCTCACGTTAACTCTCGCGATGGTTGATTACAATGATATCCTTAATGAATTATTAGATTTTAAGATTATTATTAATTTTTTATTTAGTTTCCTTTTTACATTTTTCCAAATAACATATATAATAAAAAGGAAATATTTCTAAAATTTTAAAACAAATTTAAAAACGAAAAATATATGTATATAATATGACTTTATTAAAAAGGAAAGTTAACAAAATAGTAATATCCCCATTAATATATATTTTTAAATAACATAAAATATATTTTCAAAATAATAAAAATATATATGTTCATGACCATTCAAAAATTTATCAGTTACACTATTTTCTAATATTTTTAAGAAATCAACATATAATTTGATAAATATTATGAAAATACATGTATATTTAAGCGATAAATAAAAATAATTTGATTTAAATTAACTAAAATAAAGAGTAAATAAATATTATGAAAATAAATGTATATTTAAGCGATAAATAAAAATAATTTGATTTGACTTAATTCAAATAAAAAGTAATTATACTTCAATTTTTTTTAAAAAATATATTTAACTCAATATGCTCACAAAATGAATGACTCGACTAATCTAATATATATATACAAAATTAAACATCTAACTACAATAAGAACATATAATTTTAAATAATAATAATATTAATAATCTATTTAATTTATACATATAAATTAGAGGTTGACTCAAAGCATATTAAAAAGAGAAATAAAATATTAACCAATTACAATTCAATTATTTTGTAGAATTTATATATATGCATGAGACTTCAAAATATTATCATTATATTCCTTTATGTTATTTTGAATCAAACACTTCAGTTTATTATTTATTTCATTTTAAGCACAATATATATTAAGTTATACATAATTTAACTATAATATATTTACATATCTATACATATCTAAGACAATAACCAACCGAAATGAAAATAAGAAAATTAATCAAAGTTTTATTATATTTAGAATAAAAAATAGTATAGCTGAATTCGAAAAATAGATATTATCCCATATAACAAATTGATAACCAAACCGACTATTGATCCAAAAAATAATTAAACCAACAATGATATATCTAAAGTCATATGTATAATTAGAATAATATAATATTTATTAATATAAATTATGCATATAAATTTATTCAAAATTAAAACTAAAACTAAATAGCAATTAATTATTATAAAACTTTACTTTTATGAATATTTATATCCGTGCATGAGCACGGGAAAATCACCTAGTATATAGTATGATAGAATATGATCCGCTGGATAATTGTTAGGATCCGAACCCAAACCTTGTTTTTCGGTTCATTTCTTGGGTTCCGAAAAAAGTGCCTATATCTATCTAATCAAGCATTTGCCAGTCTCTATCCTTTGGCGTATATACCTGAGAAGAAGATGATGTTGCTCTTTCCTCCTATCTCATCAAAACACCTAAACTCATTTTCAGCTAACCTTTTACTTAAACCAATCAAGATTCCAACATGAAATTAATGCAGACAAAATGCTCAAAAGCGACCAAAAGAGGTTGACTACAATAGTAAATGAAGATCACAGTGAGTTAAGAAAAGAGGTGAATGGAGTGTTTGATCCAGTAGTGTCATTTGTTTGACTACTGATATAAAACATGATGCATCGTTTACAAAAAAAGTTTATCACTCTTTGGAAGGGACTTGGTCTTCTGAGTTGGTACTTAATATGGGAACCTCCCATTCCAAGCTCTGAAGAACACTTTGGGCCAAAGAAACGGATAAAACTGTTTGCGTCTTCGTCTACACTCTCTTCCTGGAATCTCAGATGGTTTTGAGTTATCAGTTTTGTTTGTCTTGGTGAACAAGGCGATGAAGAACCCTTCTTTGTCCTCCACCGGATCCATCCTGAGTAAATGTTCAGCTGCAAGCCAACATGATCAACTTGTTTAGAAAAAAATAGTCAATCAAGTGAGTTGAAACCATATACTTACATCCTGTGAATACAGAGAGACCACGACGCTGCCACTGAGGAAAAGGAGTAGAGAGTTCAAAGCCGAGGGATGAAGCAAGAGGTAATACAGATGAGACCACATCTTCGTTTTCTATCTGGTGGATGGAGCATGTGCTGTATACTACTCTCTCAACCTGTGGAACTACAAGTGTATAGGCATATGATGAGTACTAATTCAACATACAATTTTGTTATAGCCAACAAGAGACATGTAAGCTCACAGGAGAGTGCATGGGCAAGAGCCTTCTTCTGGAAAACAGCGAGTTTGTGGAGTCTTATGGAGTCATAGTTGGTGTTATCTACATGGAAAAGTGTCTTAAAAGGTTCAGAAATTACGTATCATAACACATACATACACAGAGAGAAGAATCAGTTGAAAACCTGTTGAATGAGAAGGAAGGAGATGGTCAAGACGATCTGTAATGGTTCCAGAGCCAGAGCAAGAAGGATCCAACAATATAGCTCGAACCTGCGGTAAGAAGCCACACGCATGCATTCAGAACAATGACTCAAATGAGTGATGACTATATCTGCTTATGCTACAGAAGTAACTGGACTCTAGACAATAATTTTTAGATGCTACCGCCTAGTGATTTCTTGAACATTGATTAAAACAAACAGAAGAAAATGAAGAAAATGGACTCAGACAGCATCTATCCTAATTGCAAGATGTAAGATCAAGAAAATGATTCTAAAAACAGATAACCATACCACATAATAAAGTAATGCTTACCTTTGCAAAAGAAGGATCTGTTGGATTCAGGCTCAGAAAATCACCATGAAAGACTTCAATATCTACAACTTGTGGTTAAGAAAAGCAAACCATGGACAGAGATGAATTGAGAACCATTTATCCAATCAAATTTGCTCTTTAATTCCATGTAATTCAACTCACTTAGAACAAAACTATAGAGCAGAAGCTAAAAGAAGGATACTGGTAGCACCAGACAGCTTAATAGTCTGTTCCAAACGCTTTACTCGTTCTTCATTTAGCTCACATGCTATGATTTTTCCTTGTCCTTTCATAAGAGAAGCAAGATGAACGGTTTTGTTACCTGGAGCTGAACAGGCATCAATAACCTTCACAAACAAGGTAAACAAGTTAGCATGGTAGTAACTAAACAGACAAGATACAATAAGTGTATTGAACTGTGTGGCCTACCTCCCATCCTGCTTCTGGCTGCAGTGCTGCTGCTACCATTGAACTCCCTTTTCCCTATCATTCCAAGGAATAAAAAATATCAGCAAATTAAACAGAATTTACTAAGAGTTTTCACTGTTTACCTGCAAAAATAAACGTCCATTCATAACCAAAGGATGAGCATGCAAATCGCTGCCAGGTGGCATCACTAACAAGTCAGGAACTGTCTCATCCTTCTCCACCTATTTCATATTGTCAAAAAACATGTGAGCTGCCCACCAAAAAAAAAAAAAAAAAACAT